CGACTCTACTTTTACAGAGTTTGGCTCGTGCTTATAGAAGTATGTATGAAGTTGAACGTCTGATAACAGGATGTTGGTGGTGTTTGTGGACATGCAGCGCGTGTCTTTTTAAACCAAAGGTTCTCAGCTTTTTTTGGACACCAATTTCCAAAGGCCCCCACAAATAAAAATAGATTTTAAAAACTGAATTTCCTTCCAGTTGTTTGTTATTGGTTAAGGATTTAAAAAAAAATCATTTAAATCGGTTTCTATTTGAAAGCTTGGCATATATTCATTATAAAAATGCCCTTTGTGGTTTAAGATTGTTGGGAAGGGTTGAGTTGTTGAGAGTTGTTGGACGTTGAGATTGAATTAAAATGAGAAATGTCTTGATTTTTGGTTATTTTAACTTATTTTCATTCAGTAATATTCAGTTGAAAGAATATAAAGTACCATTCAGTAAAAAGACTGCCATTCAGTCTTTTTTGAGCAATTTATATATATATATTTTTTTTAAATAGTACAAAACTTGGTTTTAGCGCTTGTGTGAACACATACACAAGAATACACACATGCAAACATGAACATGATTCAAAAAGATCAAATGGTAGATTAAAAAAAAGGTTAAAAAAATAGTTACACTTGTTCTGTTCGTAGTCAAAAATCACTATATTGGAAACAAATTTCATCTAGTGGAAGTGTTTGGTACTGCGCCGAAACAATCGTACATTTTTGGGATACCAACCTCACATTTGATACTTTAGATTTTTTTTATTTTTTTTTATGGATTTGATAGTAAAACATGCATTTCATTTAAAACTAGAAAATAGTATTTTTTATTTTTTATTTTTATTATTACTAGAATTTTTTTAATTTTTTATTTCACTTATTGAAGTATAAGAAATATTTTTTTACCGCCACCTGAGGAGCCCTAGACGGGTATGACAGATGGCGGAAGTGATAGAAAAATGTTTATTACGTTTGAAATATGGAAATTTATCTTACAAAAATGCATGGATTCGCTACAGGAGGCCTTTATTCACCCCCCGTAGCCGTGTGAGGGACGTTTTATTACAGATGCGCACACTTTATTTCACTTCTTTTGAACACCAACACCCACTTACCCCCACTGAAAGGCTTGGAGGGGCCAGGACAATTTTTAATATAACTCCGACTGGATTCGTCTGAAAGAAGAATGTCATATAAACCTAGGTGCTTTGAGGGTGAGTAAAACACAGGCTAATTTCATTTTTGGGTGAACTAACCCTTTAAAGCTTGTTTTAAATTATTTTAAGTAATTTTTTTTATGACTAATATTTTTTAACTGGTTTTATTTTAAATAATTTTGCGTAATCTTGAGTACCATCTGCTTTAAAAGGAACAGTTTAGCCAAAAAGTAAAAGTAAAACTGTCATAAAAGTCTCTGTATTCCAACTCTTTCACAGTCAAGTTATGTTTGAGAAACATCATGTTCAAACAAGCCATTATTCACTACAAATCTTCCACTCGGTCACAGATATTGTTTGCTCTGCATCCAAATATAGTTTCTCAAATCAGGGTTGCACTGAATGTCAATGACATCCAACATCACTGTTTTTTTATCACTGGCCAAATGGCATGTGACGGGTACAGAAAAGGGGAAGATTTCTAGAGAACAGCTCATTGTATGAGCACGACAGATGAACATTTACAGTCATTGCATGTAAAACAGCACTGAACACTGTTTGTGTTCCACAGGTTTGGAACAACATTGGGGTGATTCCTTCATAATTTCAATAAAAAACAGATCAGGACTAATGCGATGGATGAAGTTCAAGCTCCAGTTACACTCGGGAGTGGGTGGCTGTCACATAAAAATAACGTGGGTGAGGAAGAGGAAGTGTCTCATGTCTCAGGGGATGTTCATGCCACCTTTTTTAAGCTATGCAAAATATGCTAGAGTCACGACTGACGTTGTAACGCTGTGGTGGCCATCACATATAATGGGAAGGTCTCTTTATTTGCTTCCCTAGGAGTGTTTGTTCTAAAACACCAAAGCTTCATCAGTGCTATTTCTTGTACTTTCCACAACTCGTGAAACATCGCTTATCACAAGATAGTTTCTCTCGCCTCACTTCCCATTTCCTTCAAGTGTTTGTAGCATGACTCTGAAGTAGTCAGTTGACTGTGTGTTTGGATAAGGAGTCCCACAATCAGGGGCGGCGTGTAGGAAGGCCAGTGGCTTCAAGGACCTCGTTGATTTACGCCGACAAGCCAGCGAGAAATGAGTCTATGTGGAATCGTGCTGCTTTGTATTGTGTGCATCCAGCAAGGTGAGTTTACCAGAATTCACTCTTATATCATGCAGTTTGTTGAGCTAATGTTATATAGTTTGGGCCCGTGGGCAAGATTATTGGATCATTTTTGAGAAGAGAAGAAACTGTCTGTTTGTGAGAAGTGGAAACGGGGTATTTCCCTTTCCTGCGAAGCAACAGAAATATTTCCTCGCACATGTTGGGGTGTTCATGCAAATCAACGGATCTGTGTTTACTTTTGCAGTACGTGGCAGCGAGGAATATATTACTGGTTACAGTGGCCAATCAGTCGTCCTGAAATCTGGAGCGGACGGATCATGGAAACTTGCCAGAGTTCAGTGGTCCATTTATAAGAACACAACATATATCGCAAGTCTAAAGGACGGCGAAGTGACTATATACAAGTTTTGGAGACACCAGGGTCGACTTATGCTCAACAACAGTACGGGAGATTTAACAATCTGTAATGTGACAGTGAACGACAGTATGATATATAACGTGGCTTTGCTCACATCAGATGACAATCGGAAACAAGTTAAAGTTCATCTCACAGTTCAAGGTAAGCAGTCTTCAGTATAGTAAGCAATCTACTAAAGTCTTGCTCAATGACTGTCGGCCAGACTGAGTAATTGATATAACGTCCTGCAGAACCTCTCCAGAAACCAGACATCCAGAAGACGCTCCATTCCTTCAATGACAGCCGGTGCTACGTTGTTCTCGAGTGCACTGCATCTGGCCAAAATGTGAATTTGTCCTGGATGCCTGATGGAGAGTTCAACGGATCGTATATTTCAGGAATCCCAAACTCCGTCGACTCTTCGTCTGTTCTTTTCGCATCAATTAATGGCAGAATAAACGTGACGTTCAACTGCACTGCCTCCAGCGGTCAACAGACAGTGACCAGGCAAATGACAGTGGGATGTTCAGGTGGGTCTCGCCAACAGATTTTCGCTGCTTTAGGATGCTGTACACTACGCATTAAGTCGCGTTCAGGCTTCAATGCACTTCCAAACACAAGCCGGACTCCAATCATTCAGTCCACTTAAACTCCAACCCTGCATGCACACTCAAATTCAATCAACTACCTCATTTTTGAGTCCGTTGCCCACATTTCAACCAATCCATAGAACCATCCCAGATAGCACACGTACGTCTGCAAGATGTCTGTTAAAGATCTTTTGATCTGGAAAGCATCTGCTGTGTACAAACATCTGACAGACGTCTATAAGATGTCAGTTTAGCATACATTCTAAATCATAAACATCTTAAAGACATCTAATAGATGTCTATTTGACATCTAAAAGGAAACGTCCTATTGACATACTGCAGATGAGCAAACACTCTAAAAAAACATCTTGCAGATGTAAATGCAGACGTCAAATAGACGTCTCCGATGTGTGTGTGCTATCAGGGATGTTCCCACTCTACATTTTTTTCTTTTTCAATAATAAATTAAGCTCAAAGTATATTTTAGTGTACGCTAAAAGCACACGTACATTTAGGAGACGTCTATTTGACGTCTGCATTTACATCTTTATGTATTTTTTAGAGTGTTTGCTCGTCTGCAGTATGTCTATAAGACGTTTACTATCAGATGTTAAACAGACGTTTAGAAGATGTCTTTAAGATGTTTATGATTTAGAATGTATGTAAAACTGACATCTTAAAGATGTCTA